TGGAAATGATAGGTAGTCAAAAATATGTGAGTAGATGAACGACGAATTAAAGTTGATGTGAGGTGTGAGGATGATTGATTGATATTATTTAATTATATTAATAATATTGAGGAGAGTTGGATTGGATCAAATTTGAGTAAACAAAAGTAAAAAAAAAAATATTATTCAATCAGTCAAAACCGGTTTTAATTTGTAGTCAATCGCGCCCTAAAAGTCCAGAGAGCGAGAGAGAGAGATAGAGTCTTACTCGGGATCAAGATAACCAACGGTGCCTCGAACTATGCTCGACACATGAGAAGCTCCATCGACTGCTAGTTTCGAGAGGCCAAAATCCGAAACCTTAGCTCTCATGTTCTGGTCGAGAAGAATATTACTCGTTTTCAAATCTCTATGGATAATTGACGGGACACAGCCAGTGTGGAGGTACTCGATTCCTAAAACAAGCAAAAAGGAGAAAATCTTTACGCGATTATTGTTCTGCTGTTTTGATGTATGCACAATTTTAAAGTTTATCGTCTCTTTAATTAATAGGCGAGTTGAATTAATAGGTACCATCAACATGAGACCTTTTTTGGGTCCGGTTAAACTAACCTTTTGCAGCATCTGCAGCAATTTCAAGGCGCTTCATCCAATTAACACCTCTTCCATGTGTTAACGGCCCTACGTAAGATATATTAGGTCGAACAAAGTTTAATAAATTCAATTCCAAAGTAAAAAAGAAAAAGAACGAAACAAGAACGACATGTACCATAAAGGTGCTCCTTGAGAGTTCCATTGTGCATGAACTCATACACGAGAATACTTTTACCGTCTTCTTGACAATATCCAAGAAACTGTACGAGGTTCCTATGATGTATTCTTGAAAGAAGAGAGACCTGTTTATAAGCCGAAAATCAAGAAAAAAGAAGATAACAAATGCAATTAACAAAACTGCTGCTTAAAGAAAGGACTAAACGAGCCATCAAATAGTAGTGCAAGGAACTAAAGATAATTGATATTAAGGTAAAGTAACTACCTCGTTTGAAAATTCTCGCTTGCCCTGGAATGAATCATTAGTCAATATCTTGACCGCAATTTCCTTTCCATCTTTAAGTCTCCCATAATAGACAACCCCAAATCCACCTGAGCCGATTTTCCTCTCAAAGTTATTTGTAGCAGCCTCGATTTCAGATAATGAAAAGTAATGTGCAGCTTCAGTTGCACTATCCGACACGGGCTTTTGAGCAGACAAATCGTGTTGCAATTTTCCTACGCCACAAAAACACGCACAGACAAGAACAAAGGCAACGGTTAACATAATACGAATAAATCTTAATTCAATAATTAAGTATTACTAATAAGAAGAAACTAAATGAATACAGATATTGTCAAACTACCTAAGTTCATTAACTTGTAATAGTTTGTGTATATACTAACCTTGTTTAGGATTTTTCTTTCCTTTTGGCAATAAGAAAAAAGCTGCAACGGAAGCAATAAGCAGAACAGCAGCTCCTACTGAAGTTCCGATTATAATTTTTGTATGGTTCTCTATATTGCCCTTGTTGTGCAGATCCGGGTTTCCAGTATAGCTATAGTATACACGTGGTTAATTAATACTTTAATATTTTAAAACGACTAATAGCTCCATAATCTATAACTAACAAAATTTTCATATCAATATGAATACTCACTTCAAACTCATATCTCTATTAAGAAGACCAGACGGGACATTTCCTGATAGCCTATTGTTTTGAACATACCTGAAAAACGAGTTGTTATAAGCATCGTAAATGATTATAACTCAAAGTTGAATGTAGTGAAGACAAACACAAAAATAATGGACTAAAAATACAGTTTGGCCAATATTTGTTCTGCATCACTTTGATATATTTGTTTTCGAAATGCTTAGCAGAAAAACAAGAAAAAAAAAAATAGCACTACAAAACAAACTTCCAAGTTTCGAATACCTCTAAATGAGTTTCCATATGCCAACTAAATTCGCAGCTAAGTTATACAAAATTCTTGTAAAAGGCTAATAATAATATATGGTTGTACTTCAGCTCTTCAAACTTACAATTCTCTCAAATTTGAAAGATCTCCCAATGAAGAAGGCAGATCACCGGTCAACTGATTATTCTCTAGATGTCTGCCAAAAAACAGTTTGTCAGTTGCTGTAACAAAATACAAGTGTAAAACCCCAAATAAATAAATAAATGTTTGATAATATCTCACATAATTCTCAAGTTGGGGCACCCAGAAAAATCAGGGATTGAACCATTCAGCGAGTTATTATCGAGCCACCTGCAATTTACATATGTATGAGCAATGAAAATTACAACAAATAATCATCTAATTGTGGCCCTCAAGAAATGCTACTTACAACTCAACTAGATCAGCCAACTTTGTCAAATCTTCAGGAATAGGTCCTGTCAAATTCTTCCCAGAAAGTTTACTGTACAAAATCACAAGCAAGATAATCACGCATCGTAAATACTATCAACTGTAAGTTAAAATACAATAATTCAGAAGCTAGAATCTTCTACGAGTTTATGTAACACACGTGCAACCACTCTGGAGTTTTGGAACTGAAAGTCCTTTTTCATCACATATATAAGAAAGATAATAATAATAATAATAATACTAATAAAAGAAAGATGAAAAGCAGAAGAATATATACACTGATGTTATTCTTGGTTGGAGATCTGAATTACACTGGACCCATGACCATGGAGCTGGAAGGCACGGGTCACCACCTTCAAGTGCCCAATCGGCTGACGAATAAGTTGCTGCCATAGCAGCAAGAATTGGTCCTGCAACTCAAGTAAAAGCTATTAGGCATTACATTTATTTGTGCTTGGGAAAAAGTGATTGTAATGTGATTATTTTTTAATTTCCATCTTAGTACTTCTGATCTCAAGAGATTCTACATTTCAACAAATCTAGAGTTATACAGGAAGAGAAAATAATCTGATAACAAATTATTTGATTAGAGTTATGATCTTTGAATTGGATAATAGGAAAAAAAAAAAAAAAACCTTTAGTATGGGATATTTACTCAGCAAAGGCAAGCTAAGTTTGTATACTACAAAAACAAACACTCTCAAGGTACGGTTCTGTCTTACATTTTGCCCCAATCGACTATCACTAATTGCTAATGCATCACATATTTTACAATACACCAGTCGACTTTTAAAACTAAAACAAATAGGCACAACTTCTCGTCTATTTACAAATCGAGAATATGGTGCTTCTTGTAATGTTTACAAAAACTGGGTTTGCAGTAGCAAAAGTATTTGAAGAAATCGGCAATTCAATCAGCTCAACTAACACTCAAACAAATTGTAATGCAAGCATAAACTAAGGTGCATTTTCAAACTTTAGAGTTCCTTTTGTGTTTTGAGTTAAAATTTAGCCATAACTCAAAAACAGTTTCGAATTTATCTCATGATTTATGAATTTGTAACACCAAAAAATCACATATAAAAGAATTATACACATCCTCACCATCTGCACAGCCATCACTCTTCTTCAGATACCGATTTATTTCCATTGCATTCAGAAGCGGACCCGCAGTAGAGTCCGATGTCCTCGCGAACCCAAAAGACAAAACGAATGGCAGCGTGATGTTATAGTAACCCGGCTCGTACAAACGGTATTTTCCCTGTGCATTTTCTTGAATGTTCACTACAGCCTTGCTGAATTCAGGGGCCCCCGGAAGTACCAGCCTGAACTTTCGGGCCTCACCCGGGCCCAAATCCTCGATCTCCGCAAAGTACGTGAAGGCCCAACCAGGCCCGGGAAACCCGTCGAGGTTCATGCGGTATGTGAGCGATCCGTTTCGGCCCACGACAGCTGTCTGCATGACTTTCTCTGGCGGCATCTCATCCCGGCTCACGTCTATGGGCATTCGGGTCGATATTTTCTCGGTTCCTTCAGCAACATCGACAAGGTAGTTTGCTTTTCTTATCGAGTCGGATAGCCATATTCTATCAAACGGGTCATCTGGGTACCTGCAAAATACTGCCTTTTTCTCATTTTGAACAATATATATCCAATATTGCATAAATTACACGTAGTTGATTAGAAGTCAGAAGCATTTGCATGCAGAAGCTAAACATTGAACTTATTGGTCGAGAGTGCTCGGTAAATAAGCGAAGTCAACCGAAAATAGAATCAGAAATCTCAGGTAAGCTACGATTGGAGATCGATATTTTTTTCACCGCACCAGATAAACTCTTCTGCCCATGAACTTGTGAATGCCCACTTTTTTCTTTTTTTCAATTTAACCTCATTATTTCTCTTATAAATGCCATCTACACACTGTTTGAAAAGCAAAAATCATCGCCACATGTTTCACTATTTGTTCATGCATTTCGAACTAACAATCGTACCCCGATCACTATTGAACTATTTCCAGGTTCTTCGTAAACTTCAGTCGTTGTATTTT